AACCCAATGACGATCACCCAGAACTCACCTCTGCTGCTTTTGCATCTCGCCCTGTATCAAACAACGTTCTGTAGTAATTCGCTTTGAGTTGTTCGAAGCCAGGGTAGTTCTGAATAGTTACCCTCAGTCATTCGCCCATTCATGTTTACAATCATCAGAAATCGGAGCCTGCCTAGCATGTGAGCGTAAAAAGGAATGGTGCTCATCATCAGTCGCCCGTGCCGCTGCCGCGCGCGTACTAGGCCGACACATCGTCTTGGAAAATTCAAACGTTCTCACCACAGCCTTAGCAATGCTCAACGCTTCATCCCATTTTTGTAGCAGTTGATACATCTCAATCGCTTCTTCGATGGCGTTCTAAACATCATCCCATTCGAGCCTATTCCCAAAATAGAGTCTTTAGAATGGTCTGTAAAAGGTAGAACCCACATTTTTTAGATAGATATTCTCGGCTTCCTTGAAATTCCGCATCAATTGCGCAGCATTGGCCCGAATTTTCCAATGTTGCGTGCCGTCGCCACCAATCTCTTTAGCCGTAACTTCTGCCATTTCTGCATTTCTCTGAAATAGTGACTTCGAAAACGGGAAGAAGGCTGCACAACTTTGAGCGTCACTTACGAAAGCAGCTCGGGCTCGAGGGTATTCATTGAGAGCTGCAAAACATCGCTGAGCGACGAAGAAGTTTTTCTGTTCCGAGGCCATTTGCGCTACTTTGTTCCACATCGAGTAGCTAAACATGTAATGAGCTGGGAGTGAGGGATGGTGGAATCTCAGCAGGCTATTGTTCCAAAACTTGTAAAAGCGTGAAGATTGTCAGAAGCTGCCAGATTTGGCAATCTCTAATCCCTAACTTCATCTAACATTAATGACTTATTTGCCCACTGGGATAACAACAGCTAAATGGGCCAACGCGTGAAAGGATTCTGAGGATGGGCCTTTCTACGTAGCTTGAAGTGTTGGGATTATTCCACGAGATTATCTGATAGAAAATTTCCGTACCCACCGGATTTTTGGAGCTAACTTATTCATAATGGAATCCCAGAAAACTGAAATAACCGTACCTTTCTCAGTCACAGAGACAGGTTAGGCAAAATGAAGGCAAAATTCGAGTTAGTTCACTTCATGGTTCCCAATCAGAGATTAGGTTATATAGTAGAGTTTGGTTGTCAGAGAAAATGCTCGGGAAGTCAGGGGAACCGGAAAGGAAAGAGAAAGGAATACTCAAACTCACGCATCATCGACTTTGTAGTGATCCAGAAATGCAGAGGCTCTGTTCAGATCTCCTGATTCCAACGCTGACCCGAAATCAATTTGGACGTTGTCAAGCTCGTACGCGACTTTGGCGTTGTCTTCCTGAACACCACTCCTTCAGCTTTACCCAATTCATCGGCTACTTGTTGCTTACCTGGACGATAACTTCCGTACGTTCCGCATCTCGGAGAACACTTTCTATTTCACCTTTGATGGTAATCGTGGTTACTTGATCGGGTAATGCGGGGTTGTACCTACAATATGATAGGGCGCTACTTTTCATGTATTAAGGGAATTGGCGATATTACAGAATATTTATAACATTTCCTTACCATACGTGAAGCGAGTTACCAGACTGTGCCACGATAGTATCGCTTCCGGGCACCCATTGGACATAAGTACAGAAATTGAGCAACGATGACTGACGGGAGCCATCGAGTAGGAATAGTCGTGAGCGCTTGTCACGGAACAACAGTTTTGTAGCTGTTTCGCTCAACTAAATGAATCAAAATGAACATCATCAATAGTAGATCGAAGCAGCCGATAACTGTCAAAAGTGTACACTTTAAAAGTCATTTAGTCGTTTAAAGATTGTTCCGTACAAGAAGGGAGTGTAGTCTCAGTTCATTCTGTGTAGCTCATACAGTGGCCCTTGGCTAGTTGTCTCGCTGCGCAGTACACCTTTTGAAATATCGCTAGTTTCAGAAGTTGCGTGAAGAAGGATAGTCACACATCGGCTTTCAGGTGCATCTGCAATCGTTCGCCCACCCAACTGTCGGAGTGACAGCAGATAGGGAGGGTCAACATCCAGGAGTTTCTTCTAATTGGAGTCTTCATCGACATGATTCAATGTTGAGGAAAAGGCAAAAAGCTCCAACTCGTTGTCAGACCGTACAGCAAGGAGATCCTACCTTCTTATTCGCGTTGAGAAGGGAACTTTTCAAAATAGTGTTTCACTCGCAGATGATTTCCAAGCATCTATTAATTGGCATAGTAACGACAGCTTTATATCTCGATCGACTCCCTTATTCATTGAGAAAAGTTCGAACTCACCTCTAACCAGTCGATTGTGGTCGTATGCGTTATGCTCACTTCTATGTTGTCGTTCATCAAGTTTTCTGAAATGAGTAACAGTTATCAAAGTTTCACCCTGTATTTTGGCTCTGTTTCACCCCTCTGCTGGGTTATACCAAATGCAAGAGACGCGGCGCGACTGCACGCTTCAGTGCCCTTCATTTCGTTACAAGCTGTCTGGCTGCTACGGGAGGAATTTGAAGGCATCACCTCCGATTCCATAAATACATGAATTGGCTTACTCAAATCATTTAACCCGAATTCAAGTGCACTTTGTAACGCAGTCCACCCAGATCCCGATCCTAATTCATTTAAAATAAAATAAATAAATAAATGATAAATAAATAAACTCATTTTGAAATAAATAAAAATAAGACTTACTGATCGTTAGTGACGTCGGATCAGTGAGGTACGCAATCTTTTTCATTGGATTCGAGCCTGGACCTCCT